TCAGTCCTCAACCATGGCCTTCCCCATGTCCTCCAACTTACCTTCAATCCTAGTCAGTCATTGGGGAACATTCATCATCAGAGTGGATGCGGATGCATGTGACTCAATCCTCTCTGCCAGGTGCCCAGTTGCCCAAGTCATAACCTTCCTTTTCTGACTGTTTTGTTTACCAATTAGGCCATACTTAGGTTGGGACATCACATCTCTCAAGAGCATGTTCACCTTGGCCCTAAAGAATATCTGGGAGACTAAATGGGCATAAGGCATGTTTGCCCTAGGCTTGGCGGCCTTGGTGTAATCTCTCATAACATCCCAGGTCATCTTTGCGTTGTCCATTCGAGATCCTACCATGAACTCGTACAACAAAGCCATCTTCTCTACCCCCAACTTCTTTTCCACCCCCTTCGTAAAACATTATAGTGTAGGATTTTATGCATGAACCCATAACTATGCTTGAGCCTGTAGGTATGGATTTTTCCTTTGAACCCTGCGATGTCTTTATACATCAACTAAGCGTACTCATGAAGCTCATTCTTTTGCTTAGTGGGGGTGGGGGTAATCGATTTTGTCCACTTCAAGATCATAACTATTGATGCTGGGGTAATGTCAATCACCTTGNGCATGGGTGAGAGGAGCCAAGGAGGGCTCGGGTTGAGTCGCATGAGTGGGTGTCATCTCATTTCATGGCATGACATTGCTAAAATTCCAACATTGAATAATATACTCTTGTTTGATATGTTGTTGTTTGTTAAGGATTGCATGAACGTTTCATATGCATTTAGGTTGGGGAATAACCTCTATAGGAAATATTCTACTGAGCGTGACTTACCTTATACAGGAAAATATATCAGGTGCGAGATATGAGTGGGTGATGATCCCGGTTAAAGGGATGCTATTGACGTGATGTCGGTTTGTGCGATAATCATGGGTACTTCCGCGAGTTGACGGGTGGTCAACGGTTGAAAAAGGACCCCTGGTTTTAGGGGCGTCACAATTGTGAATCAAAATAAGATCCCAACTAAAAATTAAACAACAAAAATCAAAAAAAATTTACAGAACTTAAAATTAAAACAAAATTGAGAGAAATCTAAAAGATGGAATGAAGTTACCTAGGATATCAAGTTCTCCAAACAGCTCATTGTGAAGAGGAATTCCTCTTTTCAGCTTCTGTATCCTTTCAAGTCCTAGTAACGGTGCTAAAAACTTGCTTGACTTCGAAATGGTGCACCCAAGTGTAGGTGGTCCAATTGTCCAGTGTAGTAATAAACTCAGAAAGACCGAGGTCGATCCACAAGGAATTGATTTGAACACGAGAAGGTAGAAGAAAGATTAATTTAAAGGTGATTGAATTTGGGTAATTGAGACAGATTATAAGGAATTTGCTATAAGGGAAAGGTATTCTCTATCTTCGGGATTAGGTATCATTCATGTGTATTAGGTATTGCAATTATCTATTTCTCAATTGACATCCAACGTTAGGGTAATCTATTGAAAAATACAGCTTTGAAAACCAATTTCATTCAAAAGAAAATATGAATTTACGAACTAGTATTTTAGACTCGCAAGGAATTATAAGAATTAACTATATCAAGAAATCAATCCAATTAATGATTATTCAAATAAGTTACAGAGTACAATACTTTAATAAAAATCATTTATTCAATTGAGAAACAATTAAAAAGATAGATCATTCTAGAACTATAGAAGAATAATTGCATTAATAAAATATTCAAAATACAATCCTAAAAATCATACCCTATGTTTAATTTATTTATCCTTGTTGTTTTTGCAGAGTGTGTTTGAATATGTGGGTGTTAAAAGTGGTGTACTCTCAAAATTATGATAGTGCAAAAATTGCCCTCCAAGCGCAGGGAGGCTTATGGGTCGTGTATTAACTCGAAAAAAAATTTTGAGGTTGTCTCTTTAGGAAAGGTCAAGACTAGGTGTTTCAAAAGTGATTTTGAAAATAAAAGTAAAAATTGGTTGCGAATTGTGAGATTCGGGTTTTGAAACTCTATAAATAAAAAAAGGGTTGGCTAATTTTGATAATTCATTCCACCGAGTATGGTTAATCAATCCTACTTATAACTCAATTGAACTCATACATTTTTTTTGTTCAATTAGAAGATAGGAGTTATAAATCAAGAATTACCAATTTGTGTATTGGTGTTAAATTGATTCGTAGGAAGATTGATTTGTATGTGTTTGAAGGGACGATAAGCATGTCCCGTAACAAGTCTACGGTGCACCAAATTTGTACAAACTTATACGTTGCAATCAACCTAGTCAAATTCAACACTCTACACTACAAGTCAATGTGTGTGAGAAATAATTTTCCCATATTCGGATGGAAATCCTTCCTTAGATTCCGCCAACAAATAGTTTAGCCGGCCATAGATGAACGAAAATGCTAAGGAAAATGGAAAACATCGCAAAGGAAACAAACACTAACTTAAGCTGGCCAAATAAAAAGGTAAACAAACTTAAAGCTTCGATCAAATCTAAAAAATATAGGAGGTAAAGGACAAATGTTCAATTAGTTGAAAATGGAATTTCCCCGAAACTAATGTCACGGTGAAACTCTAACAAAATGCATTCATAATTGAAAATGGAAGTTGTCCCAAGTTTAGAAATGAAGATTTCAAGATTTAGAAACGTACTAGAACAAAAATGAGCAAGAAATTACAAAAACCTAACTTTCTCTCTCTAAAACTCTATTTTTCTTTTTCCTTGAGCTTCTCTCTCTAAAAGCTAGAATTTCCTTCTATGTTCCTTGATAATCCCGTGAATAATGCTCCCCTTTGTCTAGAAAGTAATCAGAATCCTTAATTGGAGAGAGGTTGTCCATTTTTTCTTCCCAAATCAGCAAAAGCATGACCTCTTTTTCCTTTCCAACCATTCCCCCTTTCCTCTCTGTCCCTTCACTCATTCTTGCTTGAAAGCTGAATGTAGGGGTTAGGGGGTCATGGTGGAGTGTTAATAATGCCATAATAAAGCTTAGACACCCCTAGGAGTACCCTCATGGCTGATGAGAATGTCGAGAGAAAAATTCAAGGAAGTTTGGGCTTAGGTACCGGTATAAAGTGATAAAGGTAACAATACCCTGCTTCTAGTGTACTCAGGTACCGGTACTTATGCTTCCAGGTACCGGTACCTCCTTCATTCTCCTATTTCAAGTAGGCTCAGATACCAATCCCAGGTACCAATATTTAGCTTCCAGTGGGCTCAGGTACCGGTACTTATCTTCATAGGTATTGGTACCTCCTTCCTTTCTTTGATTTGTGCACTTCTACGCTCTCGCGCCCTCATCTCTTGTATTCCTTTCTTCACCCTTTGTCCACAAAATATTACATAGTGATGAAACCCTGTATTTACACACCAATCACCTATAATCACACATTTCTCCATTAATCTCCAAATTAAACTAAATTCAAGTAAATCATTGCAAAACCAAGTTAAAATGAATGTAATGAGGCCGTTAAATATGCAATATTATGCACTCATCACACCCCCCAACTTGAGTTTTGCTAGTCCCTAGCAAATCTTATTCGAAAAGATAGATATAAACCAACAATAAAACTTCCATACATGTCGATCATTAAATAAACTTATTCAAAACAATTAAATCAAATTGCAATTGAGCCAATGGATTCAGGGCAAAGTTAAACACAAAAAAATTTTGTTCTTTCATTCATAGGCATTGTCTTTCTTTACAAAGAAGAACACAAAATGGCCTATTCTCCTAAGGATTCTTCTACCTAGGTTTGACAACCTAAACTTGCTTCTACTAACCTATAGTTCCTAAAAAGTTGCAAAACAAAAGAAAGGGCAATCACTAGTGGCTCCTTCATTGCTTGTGCTTGCACTCATTCATTTCCTCTTCCTCTCTCATCTACTCATATGCCTTGTCACCATCACCCTTATCATCACCAGATTCATCATCACTAACTTCTTCCTCCTCATCATGACCAGAGTCCTCAACGTCTAGCACAAAAGACAAAGAAGGGATAGTAGTAGGTTATGCTAGCCCCAGGAATAGGTGTGGAATATCAATTATGGCGGCTAGTGGAACCTTAATAGAAATAACTGGTGGCGTTAGTGGTAGAGTTACCACAGGTAGAGGCTCTCCTAAGAATGCCTACTCGTAGAATCTCTTCATCATCAGTCTCAATAGCCCCAAAGTCCCTCAGTCCTCAACCATGGCCTTCCCCATGTCCTCCAACTTACCTTCAATCCTAGTCAGTCATTGGGGAACATTCATCATCAGAGTGGATGCGGATGCATGTGACTCAATCCTCTCTGCCAGGTGCCCAGTTGCCCAAGTCATAACCTTCCTTTTCTGACTGTTTTGTTTACCAATTAGGCCATACTTAGGTTGGGACATCACATCTCTCAAGAGCATGTTCACCTTGGCCCTAAAGAATATCTGGGAGACTAAATGGGCATAAGGCATGTTTGCCCTAGGCTTGGCGGCCTTGGTGTAATCTCTCATAACATCCCAGGTCATCTTTGCGTTGTCCATTCGAGATCCTACCATGAACTCGTACAACAAAGCCATCTTCTCTACCCCCAACTTCTTTTCCACCCCCTTCGTAAAACATTATAGTGTAGGATTTTATGCATGAACCCATAACTATGCTTGAGCCTGTAGGTATGGATTTTTCCTTTGAACCCTGCGATGTCTTTATACATCAACTAAGCGTACTCATGAAGCTCATTCTTTTGCTTAGTGGGGGTGGGGGTAATCGATTTTGTCCACTTCAAGATCATAACTATTGATGCTGGGGTAATGTCAATCACCTTGCCCCTCATCGTGGCTCTCAATACTTCTAGATTTTCATCTATAACTGCCAATGCCTAATAAAAGTCCCGACACAAGGGAAGCAGATACCCCTTCACCTCATCAAACAAAAAATGTAGATCATGANTTCCCCTCATCGTGGCTCTCAATACTTCTAGATTTTCATCTATAACTGCCAATGCCTAATAAAAGTCCTGACACAAGGGAAGCAGATACCCCTTCACCTCATCAAACAAAAAATGTAGATCATGATTTTCAGTGGTTCTCACCATAACTTCCCTAGGCCCTAAAGTATTCCTATTGACTTGGCGCTCGCAAGTCACATTCCTAACCCTAATTTCCTCCAATTGATCATTCTTCTTTTTCTTCATGGGCTCATTTGAACTTGGGCCAACATCCTTGGCCTTCCTACTGACACCCGTGCCCATTTGTTTTCACTTGGCGGAAGTCATTCTCTTGGTATGCACCACCAACAACCCAAACATTACAAATGGAAAAATCCATTCTCAAATCAAAGTGGGGAGCATTTTTCTTACCTTTCAACTCCATGGTCGCTAAAATCTGAGAGTTGATCGATGAAATGGAGAGATTAGAGAGTTACCCAAGAGTTTTGAGGAAGTTTTAGAGGTTCTAGAGAGAGAGTAAAGAGTGTCATTTTACCCTTTAAACCCTCAATTTTAAAGTTTTGGAACACGAGGTACCGGTACCTTGCTAAGAAGGTATCAGTAGTTGAGTGTTCTTTCCAGTAGGTACTAGTACCAAATTGATAAGGTACCAGTACCTTGACCAAAAATCAACAAAATTTTTTTTTGTTGTGCCCTTTACTTCTATCCAATTTGTCTACCTTATTTGACTCTAATCTAACTCTAACAACATACTTGGCTAACTTAACTGCTCAAAAATCTGTATCAAAACTGTCTGACTTTGCTCGAATTCACAGATAAAATTACAATGCGATTTAGTTTGACAAATTCAAAATACAAGTCATGGAATTCTACGTCTAACAAAATGAAAACCATAAAGTAAAGCACAAAACAAGATCTATTGTATTCATGATCCCTTCCTACTCTACTCACTACATTTTTAAACCACTATGTGATCCCTAGCGGACAAGTTTGTCTTGTGAAGGTTTATAGTGAAACTACCAACAAGCTTCTCTTTCTTTAATTCCCCCTTTTTTTCACTTCTAATATTTAAAACATATTTCATCATCCTAACCAGCCGTGGGGTGTCTTGAACAATTTTTTTCGCATTCACCCGAACTAGTTACTCATGAGTCACACCATAGACTTAAATACTATTCAAAAGTACTCACCTACACATCTCCCTTCAGGAATTGTGTGTGTGTGTGAAACAAGAATGCAATTCAAACAATTTACCCAAAAACCTCCACTTCCATTTTAGCTATCCAAATTTAGCTTTGATGCAATTCTCACCAAGGGTTTCCTCTCAGACTGAATAACTCTATGATTATAGTGACTTTCTCACAATGTTCATACGTCATGCAGAATCTTGTATTCAAAATGAAATAAAGCTTACATATAGTCCAAAATTGAAGTGCATGTTCAACAATTGAAGCGACCTTGACATAATCGCATGAATGGAATGTTAGGGTAATTTAACAAAGTGTAGGTGACTTCTCTTTTCCCTTAGAACATGCTTTTTTCATGTATCCTCAAGATAAAAAATGACTTACTCTAGTTATAATGTGGCCCTAGGGTTATTTAGGTTAAGAGAAATGAAGGGAATAAAAATTTTAAAAGTGGATCATCCCTAGAATATGACATTCAAATCACAATTCACCTTCATTTCAATTCCCTTTTTCTTTTTCTTTATCTTTTCATTTTCTTTCTTTTCAACCCTTTTTTCCCTTCTTTTCACCATCCACCTTCATTTCAATTCCCTTTTTCTTTCCTTTCTCTTTTTTCTTTTTTTGAATCTTTTTTGAAATTCATGCATACATCATCCCTTTGTTTTACTTCCCACCATCACATCTTCCCTTCTTTCAATATAAGCATTGTTAATCTTGGGATAACCAACGTAGGGTAAACATATTAAACATGGCTTGATCAAACATGTGGTTAAAGAAACAAAATTTTCATTTGCAGCTCAATCATGGTGACTAGGGAAATATTTAGAATGGAAAGGCTAAGGCTCAAAGTGGATCAAATAAGGCCTAAGATCATTTATCAGAGATGCACAACAAATTACTACTATGCATTTCAAATCAAGTCAATTAACTATCACTTTGGTTGAGTTTGAATGAAGACATGGATGTGATACTTATGCATAGGATAAACTTCTATTGTGCACTCATATGTTAAAAATTCAAGTTTTAGGTCAAGCAAACACAGGTCCCATAACAATTAGGAGGAAAAATATAGTTAAATATTGGATGTTTTATTTTTTTTTATTTCAAAAAATTTTAAAATTTCATCAAATTTTCAACTTATCACCAATAAAATGGTATTATCAACAAAATGGTGTAACATGCAAATAGTGCACCTCACCCCCCCCCCCCCAACTTGAACTAAACATTGTTCTCAATGCAACAAAAAAGATATGCAATGAGAATTAAACACAAGAAGAATAAGAAAACACCTCAGACTGAGCTTTAACAAAAACACTACTAGCTACAAAACAAATGAAAATACTATATACAAAAGAAAGTAAGCCAACAATTTAACTAGTAAAATAAAAAAATAAATAACAACTGTACACTAACATTAACTGAAAAACTACTCCTTAACAAGATCTAGGTATACCAAATCAACCAATTCCTCCTCAACCTTCTCAAGTTCAAAACACTTAAATAATGGCTTAAGTCTTTGACCATTGACCTTGAATGTCTTGCCATACTCCGAAATTTCTACGTCCACAACTCCACGTGGATAGGTCACCTTGACAATAAAGGGGCCATCCCATCGGCAATGAAATTTCCCTTGGAAAATGGAGAGGTGGGAAATACACAAGAGCACTTTGTGGTCAGGTTCAAATGTCTTCCTTAAAATAAAATTGTCATGGAAAATTTTAGCCCTTTCTTTGTAAATTCTATAGCTCTCATATCCTTCCCTGTGAATGTTTTCCAACTCATTAATCTTCAACTTCCTATGACTCCCAGCTAGGCTTTGGTTGAAATTCAAAGTTTTTATTGCCTAATGTGCCTTGTGCTCCATCTCCACTAGCAAGTAACAGGTCTTGCCATAGACTAACCTATAGGGAGACGTACCCAGAATGGTTTTGCAAGCAGTGCAATAAGCCCATAAGGCATTAGTCAATCTAAGTGATCAATTCTTTTGGTTAGGGCTAACCATCTTCTCGAGTATGTTCTTTATCTCCCTATTAGTCAACTCAGGTTGGCCATTGATTTATGGGTGACATGCGGTGGACACCTTATGTGTTATGCCATATTTTTGCATCAGTGAAGTAAATGACCTATTGCAGAAATGTAAACCACCATCACTTATCACGACTTAAGTCATCCCAACCCTTGACAAAATGTTTTCTTTTAAGAACTTCACCACAAATTGGTGGTCATTGGTCCTAGTAGGGATTGCCTCTACCCACTTAGATATGTAGTCTACTTCAAGGAGTATGTAAAGGTAGCCATAGGACACGGGAAAGGGATCCATGAAATCGATAACCCAACAATCAAAGATTTTTATGACAAATATGGGGGTAAGGGCATCACGTTCCTATGGGTCACACTTCCTAGCCTTTAATACCAATCACATTGTTTGCAATATGAAACATAGTCTTTAAATAATGCAGGTTAGTAAAAACCACATTGTAAGATCTTAGCTGAAGTTTTCTTAGAAGAAAAGTGCCCGCCACATGCTTTAGAATGGCAAAAGGAAAAGACATCTCGATGTTCATTGTCTGGTACACATCTCCTCTCATGACTTGGTTAGGGCAATACTTAAACAGTTATGGATTGTCGAAGTAAAAGTACGTCACCTCCACTATAAATTTTTATCTTGTCCTCCGAGCTCCAATGTGGGGGAATTTGTCCTGTGGCAAGAATATTATAGATGTCATCACACCATGGACAAACTAAATGAATGAAAAATAAATGCTCATCTAGAAAAGAGTCAGGAATATGGATGTCCTCATCAATGTCTTGGACAACAAGCCATGATAAATGGTCCATCACCACATTCTTGACTCATTTCTTGTCTTTGATGATCAAATGAAATTATTAAAGGAGGAAGATCCACCTAATGAGTCTCAGCTTGGCATTATACTTAGAGAACAAATACTTCAAAGCAAAGTGTTCATTATAGACTTGTATAGGCAAACCAATAATGTACGACCTGAATTTATCTAGAGCAAACACTATGGCTAGCAACTCCTTTTTAGTGGTAGTATAGTTCATTTGAGCTTCATTTAAGGTGTTGCTAACATAGTATATGACATAAGATTTGTTGTCTTGCCTTTGACCTACCACTACACCAACTACGTAACCACTCACGTCGTACATGAACTCAAATGAAAGTTATCTATGCATGATTGGAGGTAAAATTAACATACTTTCTAATTTTTGAAAAGATGCCTCACAATCATTTGACCACACAAACAAGACATCCTTTCCCAACAAATTAGTCAAGGGTCTTGCNTAATTGGAGGTAAAATTAACATACTTTCTAATTTTTGAAAAGATGCCTCACATTCATTTGACCACACAAACAAGACATCCTTTCCCAACAAATTAGTCAAGGGTCTTGCCAATGCACTAAAATCTTTAATGAAATGACGATAAAAACCTGCATGGCCAAGAAATGAACTGATGTCTTTGACGATCTTGGGAGTAGAAAAATTGAAAATTAATTCGAATTTATACTTGTACGCTTGTATCCCCTTTGCAAACACAATGTGATCCAACACAATCCCTTGAGTCACCATAAAGTGGCACTTCTCCCAGTTTAGCATCATGTTCTTATACTCGCACCTATCCAATGCTTTCTCTAAATTTTCCAAGCATCCCTCAAAGGAGTCTCCAAATAGTGAGAAATCATCCATTAATACTTCCACAATCTTCTCCACCATATCACTGAAGATCCCCATCATACACCTTTGGAAGGTCCCCGGGGCATTGCATAGCTGGAATGACATTCGACAGTAGACAAGTGAATGTAGTCTTTTTTTGGTCCTCCAGTACGATCTCAATTTGGTTATAGCTAGAATAGTCACCCAGGAAGCAATAAAATAGATGTCATGCTACCCTTTTTAACACTTGATTAAGGAAGGGTAGCAAAAAATAATCCTTGTGTGTGCATAAGTTGAGCTTTTGATAGTCTATGCAAACTCTTCAACTGGTGACCATCTAAGTTGGGATCAATTGATTCTCCTCATTGGCTACCACCATTACTCTTGAATTTTTGGGTACTACTTGTGTGGGATTGACCCACTTACTGTCGGCAATTGCAAA